TTATTTCCAAAAATGTGTAAAATTGGTCTACGAACTGCCTCAGAGAAAAAACCTCAGGATTGCAAAAACTGGACTAAACAAGAAAAAACATTAACTTCAGCTTTATTATGATTTTGATCGATATGATTATACTTGTATAATAGCTATATCTGTATAATCTGAACCGTATCTTCAAGAATTGCATTATTGCATTTAATAATAACCCACACCAAATTTCGGGAAGATACCTCGTCAATAAAAAAGTTTTCCATGCAGCTTTATGCTCTATTGATCCGATCTAAACAATTTCTTCGGAGATTACATTATTGCCTTAGGTAATAATCCGTGCCATATTTTATGAATATATCTCATTAAATGGAAAATTTTTCCATACAATCACTGGATTCCGATCACTCAGTTTGTATGGCAGCTATTTGCTATATTGATCCCATCATAATAATTATGGATCGATTATAATTGTGATAAGTGAAAAGAGCCATTTGCGTACTTTATTGCAAAGTCATTTGAATTGCTTAAAAATTAAATTATATGCGGTAAATTGTTTGTCATATTTTCTTAAAATTAACTGCGGAGTCCCCAAAAAAAATTAGCAAGTAATAGTATCTAAAACGATAAAGCAACGGTTACCCATGGACTATCGACAGAGCTATTTGAACACGCAACCATAAAAGCTAACGTTGCAAGGAATAAAAATAACACAGCTCTAAAACAAAAACTGTTGTCCTGGATAACTTAACAAGTTTTGATGTTTTCAAGTGTTCAGATTGCAAATTTATATATGAAGGTGTTGAATGTTGTTGTTTTTATAATTATTGCATGCCTTATATGTGTCTTGATCAATTATCAACTTGTTAGTAATAAAATTTTATTTTCCCAGTTATAATTACATTTGTGCGCAACTCATACACACATACAAGCATCATTTGATCCCCATTCTCAACTTCCTTATCCTAAATATGCTAAAAATAACGGATGGCTTAAAACAAATCAAAAGTCACTGACATGCCTTCAGAATGGCGCCTAATTCCGAAATTCCGATTCGGTACAGTCTACCGGCGGCTGTGAATCGAAGGGTTAAACATATATACCGAAGTTATTTTCTCAAGATGAACTCAGTAATTTAATACTTGTCCAGTGGAAGAATATAGTTTTAGTTACATTTGTAGAAAATTTCGGAAGCTTAGTAAGGAAAATTTGAAAGGTAGAATATTTAATGGTCCTCAAAAATGGCGATTAATGAATGTTAGGTTATGACTATTCCGGAAATTGAAGCTTGGAAAAGTTTTGTATTGACTGACTAGCTAACCAAAGAGCACCACATTATAAAGAAATTGTGAAAAATGCGCTGACAAACTTTCAGACTCTATCTCCGCAATGAAATTTTCGAATAAGCTACGAAATTATAGTGAGGAGAAAGAGCAGTTTTACCGGGATCTAAAAGAGATAGAAGAAAGGTATCAAAGTTGATTTGATCTACACATGATGGCAGATTACTTCTGGTCTTTAATCAGAGATTGCCAATTTAAAAATTATAAAAGAAAATCTCATTGATTGAAATATAACATATGTTTTCGACACTATCCCGTCTGTTTACTTCGATGTACCCTTATTTTTCAAAACAAAACTGACATTATAAATATATCTGTTATTAGGTATCATGTTTTTGTTTTAGTTTTTAATTTAATATGGAAATAAAGATTTAAAAACAAACGAAAGAAAATCTTACAAAATCATTGATAGCACTATGAACGTTGAGCATAAATATATCTAAATTCGATCTTATATCAAGGTCAAAAAAACCACTGTAGACCAGTGAATAATTAATGGATCTCTCATATCTTGTCTGCTTTAATATAAGGAGCAAAAACATAGATAATGCCGATGAAACGGCTCATAATACCCACTAAAGAATATGAATAACTCTTTACATTCTTTTTAAGGGTTTTAACAGCACAAGATGTTTTATTCAGATATCTAAATTATATACCAACACTGGCTTTAGGGAAGAAGCTACTACACTCTGTGCAAATAAGACAAAGTAGACATGGCTAAGTGAATATTTTTCGAGAACTAGACTGATGGACTGATTTCATCTTTTATTATAAGTTTTTAAGGAATATTCTTCAATTATATGTGCAAATATGTAGCTAAGTATGTGCTTGCTAGAACACCAACACTATAGGCCCTTGGTAGGTCCTACATACATGCATGTACATTATAATATTTCCCTTTCAATAAATTATGCTCTTGTTTAAAGTAATTTATTTAAATATGCGTATGTATATATGCAAGTAATACACGTGCTAAATATATAATACATATATAAATAAGTGTAAATTGCACTTTAATGTTTTGCTTATTAATTTAAACTAAATTGACTAGAAATTTGCAATACTGTTTGTAATTTGAATAGAGATATTAGCGTTATTTCATTAATAGTATATTACAAGTTATTTCTTACTTCTTATTATTTTATTTTAACTTCTTCTCTCACATGAGAGCGCGCAGAGTATTTATCAATACAAAACTTCACTAAAATATTAATTTAAAAACATACGTACTTATATATATATGCCTTTCATAAAATGAGTGGTATTCTCCTATGATCTTTTATAATATGTTATAATCTAAAATCAAAGTATGTTATTATCGCTTAAGTTAGCAAAATTTCAAATTACCACAGCAACGCATAGAATACAATAACAATAACAACATACCAACTAAATAACAAATTTTATAAAAGAAATGACGTGTTACGCCTGGGCAAAATGGTTCTCCTCATAGTCTGAGCTTTCATCAAACCAATAGATGACCAGGTTTTAAGCCAGCGCCTTGTTTGGCTTCGTCAGCGGAATTTTTTATTCTCGCAACATGTTGCAACAGAGAGTTTATTAGTTTCGTTCACCTAACGGTTTTTGTAGCACCTAAAACTAATCGAATAATATATATAGAGATAAACATATACATATATGAATGGTAAGGATGACCAGACGAAATGTATTCCGAGTAACTGTCTGCCCGTCTGCCCGTGCAAGCATTAACGTGAGTAAAAAAATCTTGATGATACTTGGTGTATTTGTTCCCCGGTACGCAATGGAGATTCGTACTGCATATGGGCTGTATCGGACTATTGCCACGCCTACAAAATGCCATTAATCGAAAACCTATAAAGTAATACAACTAAGCCACAAATTAAGATACAAAACTGTAATTTTGTACAGCATATCGAAGAATGAATAGGCATTTGAGTTTAAAACTTTTTAAAAAGTTAACGTGCGCCCACCCTCTTGTATGTTTAAGCTGCATATCTCGCAATCTACAATAGGTATTTTAACCAAATTTGTTGGGAGAAAATCATTCTAGCACTTCTTCATACACTGAAAATAACTGTAATTAGATGATAACTACGTCTACTCTCCATATAAGGGTAATGTTGAAAACCACTTAAAATGCGATAAATCAATAAATTTGTGCTTTACATTATTCTGACTTTCTTATGTTACATTGTGAAAATGAGCGAAATCGGGATTCAACCTACATCACATATATCACAATTTTAAATTCCATATGTTTCTTTCATTTTACGAATAAATCGTGAGCCAATGACATTATCGAAATAAACTTTTGCATACGACGTATGTATTTAAGGTTTGCGATCTGACGTCAAAAAATAGTCCAATTTGGACCATAACTTAATGAAACAGAGTAGATTTCTTAAAAATTATGTGGTTTAGTGTTGAGTATGAATCGCATTGGGGTAGACCAGGAATGACCAAAAAATTTACTTCGGAGCCACACGGCAACACGTCAATCATCATTTTATATATGCACTCATAGCGTTCGGAGTCATGTTATGTCGGAAGACGATTAAATTTCATTAGGGTCTGCTGCAGTTTTATTGTAAAAAAAAAAGATAAAACAAATAGGAGAAGCAAGAGTCGATGTAAGTTGGGTACCAAAAACAGAAGCAATTTACACATGAAAATCTTTTGGACGAACTTTTCGCGAATGTATTCAGAAACCTAATGATTTTAAAGAATAAAAGTTCATTAAATTTTAACATCACCTCAACAAAATAATTTATATTATAAAAATAAAACAAATATAAAATTTTTAAAAAATATAAAAATAAAGATTTATATTCTTTAATTACATTTTAGCTTTTTACCTAAAATATGTTAAAATTTTTTTGGTCGCGCACTTGTTCAAAATGAACTTGTGCTTGTCAAGCATGAGTGGAGACGATCAAATTAGCGGCCGTCAAATTGAAATATCCAAAATTTTGGATATTCATCAAGTAGAGCCGACAAAAGCTGACGACACAAATACACCTTAAGCGTTGATGGAAATATTTGACCATCTCCAGGGCACTTTAGTGAATGCTAGGCAATGTCAGCCAGGAGTGGATGAATGACGATTATCCCATTAGCTTCGAGTGAGCTACAGTGAACTAGAAGGCGACGGTCCAAGTCAACTTGCTTGCTCTGATGATTTTGCGTGTTGTTTTTAAATATGCTGTGTTTGTTGTAAAATATGTTTTTCGGAGCCACTTAATGTTGTTGAGAACCCAACAGAGTTAAGTGAACTATGGCGTGAGCACCCTGGTCTAAACCCATATAAGTTCCAATTAAAGCGAGCTTGTGATAAGCTATAATTAAACTTACTACAATAACCAAACGATAGTTGTACCAGAGTTGCCTTGCAAGGTGCATCGTTTTATGCCGTTGATGTTGTTCAATGTAAAGTATTAATAAAATTTGGATTTTCATATTAAGGCGCGGGGCTTGGCCTTAGGTTAAGAGCATTATCAATGTCAAATCAGGGTACTTTAAAACAGCTAATATATAAAACCTTAATTTTAAATCGAAAGCTTAAATAAAGTTTTTATATTGATGTTAATCGTATTTTCACAACAAAAATTTTTTTTAAGTAATACAAGTAATTTGTTCACGGAATTTCTTGCTTGCCTTTGATAACGTAAACTTCAAACTTTTTTTTTCTCGTTTAATAACGCTAAATCTTTCTATTTTCCGTAAGTTAGCTTTGTTATGTTTTGTGTGTTTTGATTATTTAAAAGTTTCGTCTCGTCATTATTTCACACTGTTCTGTTCTTTAATATTTTATATATTGGTAACATTAAATAGAAAATTAGAACATTTGTAGAAACACAATTATATATGTAAAAAGGTAATTAGTCATATTAAATCAAAAGAGTCAACGTGATCAACTAAAGATCCAAACAGATGTTAATTAACAAAGATTAACGATTCATAAATGATCACAAGATCTACTAAATTCCAACGCAGTTTAGATATATAAGCTGTTTCGATTCACCATTTCTTTGCTCGCTGTCTTTGCGCATTGCTCTCTTGTCCAAAGAAATATATGTAAATGCAAAAACAAAGTTATCGAGCTGAATTTGTACAAGAGAGTTGCGGATACCTCATGAAAATGGTATAACCGCTGTCTTCAATGCTACGAATTTTCGTTCTGCATATTTTATATTAGTTTCTCTATTGTGAATGAAAAACAAAAAAGTAATAGGTAAGTTAATAGAAAAGAAAACTTATCCACCAAGAAAGGAACGTAACATACCAAGCGCTGCCCGTCTGTTTGAACATCTGATACAATTTGTTCGATTCGGTATTTTCTAAAGCTTGGCAAATCGAAGACAGTTATAGTACACTTACATATGTACATACATCGACACATACACACACATTAATGGCTATAAAACCCATTATTACATTTTTAATATGTTGTGTTAAAAGATTGTGATACACTTTACTTATTTGATTCTAGGCGATAGCACAAATACTGCATTTTTCCTTGATATTAACTCTTTAACTCTCACTGTTTGCTAAGTGTAATCAATGCCGTTTTTAACATGCGCTACAATGATATGCCATGTACTCATAACCAAGCCTTTTTATTTGTACTCAGGATGCAAAGTAAGCTCGAGCAACATATGCGGGCCACTGCAAAAATGCACATCACAGCTAGGAGCAGCAGAGAATAGACTTTTTTGACGATATATACAATATGCTAGGTGGGCTAGAACTTGTGGCAATTTAAGTTTATAAGAGTATGTAGACAAGTATCATTTCTAGCCATGGTCTTTATAGGCCAGTGCAGAAGCTTTTGAAATAAGAAAAAGTTTAAAAGTATGTAAGTAGCTTGAAACCCATTGATAAAAGTATATAAATTGGCCATACATTTTTTCCTTTTTTTTTGCTTTCAAAAGTCTATTGTTTGAGGGAGTACGAGTATAATATTCTTATGTATTGGTATTTACTGTGATTCCGCTTAACAACGCAGTAAGTGGCGGTTCATATCACTAGGATGGGCCGAATTTTCACTTTCTGCCTATGTGAAACTATTATGTATGTTTGTATGTATACAAGTATTTGAAAATGTATGATGTCACTACAGTTTCTTAATTAGAGAATTACCGGTTGTGTTTAAACATAGTGCACTGTGCGCTAACAGGAAATTCACTATATTTCATTCATTGCATATACACATACAAATATTACTTAACCTATGAATTTAGCAAGTTGTCTTTTATTTAATTGCCTTGTTGCACAGACGATTTTTGCATTTGACTAGCTTAAAATTCCAGCAATTGAGTTAATTTGATTTTTTTTCTTTGGATTTGTTGTATACCCTATTATTTATTATTATTCGAATGCCTTCATCCACCAGCATATATATATATATTTTTTTAATTTCGCTTTTTATATCATGTCCTATGTTAAATTTTTTAAATATATATTATCTTATATATCTTTTTGGATTTGTTGTACACCTTATTAGTTATTTTTATTCAAAAGCCTGCATTCAGAGGCCTATATATATTTGTTTTAATTTCGCTTTTTAAACATGTTCTATGTTAAATTCTTTAAATATGTTTAATTTCTCTAATATTTCCATTAAGTTTTAAATACTACTCTTGTTTTTATCATTCATATGAATAATTTTTAGGTAGTTTTGCATAATGACTACATGTATGTATGTTCAATAAAAACCGTTCTATATATGTAAATACATTTGTAAGCTTGTTTATACGTTTGCTTATGCATATGGGTTAGAAGCAGCCAATTATTTAATAAGTACATATTTATGTATGTATATGTCTAAAGGAAAAATCGCATCAACTGCCCTTTGATTTACAATTACGTTTTCATATGCATATGCAAACTTACCATTTAGAAGCATTGTTTGTATTTATCTGCACCTATATACATATATAAAATTTATATATCAATATCAATATAATATATATACCAGCGTATCTGCTTATGAAAATTTGCACTAAAAGCAAGCTTTACAGCATAATATGAGAATTTATCTTAAAGAAATATCCAGCTGCTTGTTTCGCCGATGAACCGCACTTATCATGTTGCTGTAACTGCTTTGCAAGTTTCTTCTTTTTTCTTTAACTAGCCTTATCAACCCTATTCGACGTTGGCCTGGCGTAATAATGCTTTCCAAGCAACTCTGCTACGCGCCCGCCTTGACAGTACATTCAGTTATTTATTATCTCCTAACGCGTGCTAAAACCATAAAAAAATACATGTATATATATATATTTAAGCACATATAGAAAAAAGTATTGAAATTCTTAGAGCAAATGTTCAGTTGCAGCTAACAAACAGGAAAAAATGTTTACTTCGGCTGCACCGAAGCTATAATCCTTTCACAGGTGCATTTCTTATATTATAAAATGGCGAAAAAATATCTTTATCTTGATCAGACCGATTAAAGGTCTGTTAATATAGCAATACGCTATAGTGGTACGATCTAAAAAGTTTCTTAGGAGATTGTACAATTGCCCTGAATAGTTCATTCAAAATTTCGGAAATATACCTCATCACAAAAAAAAGTTTTCCATACAAGGACATGCTATAGTGGTCCGATATCGGCGATTCAGACAAATTAGTAGGAGAAAAAGACGTGTACAAAATTTCAGATTGATATCGCGTATATACATATAGACAGACGAACAGAATGTCTATAGCAGTAAATGAAGACAGAAGAGTGCCCACTATGAGAGATTGCGAGATTACTTCGCAGTCACAACTGAAGTATCTGAAGGTAATATTAGACCCAAGACTTAAATTCAAGGAGCACGTGGTGTACACGTCAGGAAAACCAAATAAGATCTATAACGCTTTATCAAGAATAATGTCAAAGAGAGGCTGTGCGGTGGTAGGTTCCAGCCGGCGATCTCTAATCGCAAACGTTATGAGCTCAGTAATATTGTACGCGGATTCAATATGGATCCAGACTCTAAACGTCATATCTTATACAAAATCAATTAACACAGTGCATAGGTTTTCTGCAATACGAATAATTAGTAGCCATACCTGCTGCAGTATTGTATTAGCCGGTATACCGCCAATTGACATCCAGGGAGAAGAGCTCTAGCGATTATAGCAGCTATTAGCGCCTAAAACAGTATCGGCAAAGACAAAAAGGGAGGAACAAGAGCACCAAAATGTGTAATCACAAAACGGAGACTTTTTCAACAGATTAAGCGGCCGTAAGTCCGCGCAATAGAGCAGACTTAAAATGTCTTGTGGCCACATAGTAATACTTAATCCGGTGGCTCCGTGGGAGAATCTTGAGTTGGGAGTAGGTTAAGTTTTGCGGATTAAAGTTCCGTACCCCAGCTTTTGATGCTTCACCTACTATTAAAACAAAACAAAAAAAGTGTTGGTCAGCAGAAACTCGTACAGGTTTATTTCGGCCCAGAGGGACTTGGAAGCCGTACATGGTTGACGACGACGTACAAGAAAGTCAATTCCTATTACGTCTATGTCTCATGATTACTTGACTAAAACTGAAAACTCTACGTTGCTCCATAAAATTGAAGTATCAGTTAAGTGATTAACAGCATATATGTATGTTATATTTTTTGAATTTTATAGAAAAACTCGTTCCTATTGTACTTCCAACAATTAATGCAAACTAATGCATATTCATCTGCTTAAAAACTATTAACTACCATGTATTAACTGTTAAAGTGAAGTTTAAGTTTTAACTACATTACATCTAGCACACTAATATGATCTTTTTATCCTCCAAATCTTCATTAAAATAATTCACACAATCGCTCACACAAATCGGTATACCTGCTCCCATACTGTTTTCATTATCGCTTAACTTGCGGCTTCGTAGCGGTTGAAGTTGGCCGCGTTGCGCCCGTTCCTGTGCCAACGAATCATCGAAGCCAGTTATGCATTCGAATTTCTGCACTTGTTTTAAATCAACGTCATTGCTTACAACATTATACAAAGCGTGGCCAGAATTTTCAGCATTCGTCTTGATTATGAGTGGCGACGATGCCAGCCTTCGATGTTGCAGCTGTTCATTTGGAATTAGGGACTGCTTCGACTCCATATACAACATATATTTTGGCATCAATTTATATTCACCACAAACGCCCTTACTACTCGGTATCTCCGCCATCGTTTGCTTGCCAGCAGGTCCTAGCACATCATGTACAGATACACTAGTTTCGTCATCAACGACGTGCATGTTATGCTGAGCAATTGGTGAATAATCACTCTCTTGATTACATGTTACCGAGTTAGTCGACAGCCCTTGGCTATAATCAGTGTCCATATCTGAATTATGTGCCAGTTGCAATTGTTGATCGTATGATATTACAGATTTCTCTACCAAATTTTGTGATTTCTCATTGGTGTTAAGAACACAGCGCCCTCTTTCATTGTGCTCAGCTAACTCCGAGTTACAACTACTTATGAGTATATCAGCTGAATCATCGTTTTTAATGACGAATTCGGTTAGTACGTTGTTCGCAATGCTCTGAACGACCGCACTACCATTGACGCCTTCATTCTCACTTCGTCTGATTTTAAAGTTGTTATCATTTTCTTCTTGTCCGCTATCATCACAACCCCTAACAGCAACTGCAAGGTGCTTTGCCAGATTACTGCAATCTGAATCGTCATCCGATGATAAAAGAAACTGATCCATACTACTACTATTTATTGAATGTTCGACTAGGTCCGTTGTCATGAATTGCGAGGCATTCCGAAAATCGACATCGTCATCAATGGTATTTCTTTGAACAATATTGATGCCATTTCTGTCTGAGTAGCTATCTTCGGTGTCGATATGCCTTAAAAAATTGTCAAATTTAAAGCTCAATCGCTTCTTACTTAAATTTTTGGTATCGTCACCACAATTTCTGTCAAAACTGTTGTGAGTTTCACTAACTAAAATTTGACTGTTTTGCACATTATTGTTGCGTTCTCTATAAGTGTATTTAGATTTAAAACCAATAATTTTATCTTCATCTGCTTGGCGCTTCGCCTCCAAATTTGGCAGGGATTCATTGTGTGCATCATTACGTACTGGATCATTACTTAAATTGATACGTAAAACAGTGGTGGTGCTCTCCGATTCCATACCGCACATATCTCGAGCTACAATAGTTGTTGTAGTTGCATCTGTTGGGTAAGGTTTACTTTTGGCCTTAACGTTATTCTTATTGCTCAAGAGAATTTCACCGAAACGTACTACTGATACCGCGGAATTAAAGGGCGAAACTGAAGTGGATATTCTAGCCGACCTTGCGCGCATACGTTCATAACGTTTGTAACGCAAGTCGCGTGATTGTTGCAGTGATGAAATATCACGTGTGTATGTGTTTTTGTTGAATTTTTGCTGAAGTCGTCTATTTTTATATTTCTTCAACTGTTGTTGTGTTTCGTCTGGCTGTTCCTGCTGTAGTGACTGGCTTTTCTTCTCTTGCAGTTGTTGCTCACGATGTTGACGTTGCTGTTCTTCTTTGATTATCTGTTCTGTATGGTGTCACAACATGTCGTCATTATCTGGATCATTATCGTGTTCACCTTCTAGGTCGAAATCATCATGGCCCAAGTCCAAGTCCATATCAGCATCGTCATCTAGATCTAGTGAATGCTGATTGCTCGGCGAAAGCGACTGAGAATGTTGTTGTGAATGCTGATATTGTTGGTGATGATAGTTGCGGTGATGATTATTGCTATTATTATTACTTAAACGATTGTTCCCACCGTTGGCACTGTTACTTTGACGATGCATGCCTAAAGATTTCGAATCATCATCGCGCCATTTATCCATAGAACGACGACGTGCATTCATAAAGAAATTCCCTACCGTGGTCGGTTCTAATCCCAATTGACGAGCAATTGTTACTTGCATCTCTTTCGAAGGCCTCTTTGTTTCCTTGAATAAGATCACAAAGCATGAAACAATTGTGTATTTAATATTAAAAGCGCAACAATTCCTATATTAAAATTGTAAACTCACTTTGAATATTGCTTGAAGTGTTCGTCTCTGCAGATCAGTGAAGACCAGCCGCGGCTTCTTTGGTTGCGGCATATGTTCTATATGAGGCTCTTCTTTACGACGGCACACCCCATTTCCGCTTACACTACCTGTAATTTTAAAGGCAAAGTTGATAAACAAATTAAGACATACGGATGGTACATTTGTATTTACCACAATTGGAGATATTTGAAACGACAACGCTGTTAGTACTAGCACTAATTGAGTTGCTCACTGGGCCGCTATTATTGCTGATGCTGGTGCTGCTGCGTTGGGGTATCTGTGCTGCTGCCATCCGTAGGGCTGACATTCGTTGAAACTCTGGTTCTTGTAACCATTTGAACATACGTCGGAAAGTCTCGCGACCGGACTTGAGCTTTGACCAGGGCTTAGGGTTCCGCAGGAGATCAGATAGTGTACCTTGCGAACGACAAAGCACGCGCTGCGCAAATATTGCCTGCGGAATACTATATCGCTTCAATTCTGCAGATATGCGCTGTGCTAGCTCTTTAGTATTGATTTCCTCCACATCGCTACCGCTAGTGAGAGCACCACTCCCTCCACTTCCAGTGCCAGCACCGCCACTTACTCCCCCACTGCTACTACAGGTACTGCCACCGCCACCTGTTGTATTGCAACCACTAGATCCACTCGAACTGTTACTGCCATTGTTAATAGTAGTTACATGTTGAATATTAAGTTGTAATTGATGTTGTTGTTGATCACTTTGAAAATGCTGTTGCGAAAGTTGGCGCTGTTGCTGTCCCATATTACACAACAAATTGTTATTGTTAAGCAAATTTTGTCCACCTATTACACTAGAGAGACGCAAGTTACTGCTGCTAACATTTAAGCTGCAGTCACTGGTGACAGGATGTGACTGTTTGCCAATGTTGTGCTGTTGTGATGTTACAGTGACTAAATGTTGTTGTTGTTGCTGCTGTTGCTGTTGTGGATGCGCATGACTCATTGGTTGATGGATGGTTAAGAGAGTTGAAGCTGTACCCATCATATCATTTGGTGGAGGCGATGGTGTAAGCGATACTGCAACAGCATCTTGTTCCAGCCGTGAAATGTCAGCGATATCTCTATTGCCTAGCGAGGCAGCGGATAGAGTTGCCATTGCTCCATTTATGGGCGGCAATGTTACCACAGGTTGATTGGCCATACTACAGCTTCCAGGAGAATTTAACGATACTGAACCAGCTGATATGGAATGTGGACTCAAAATAGGGCTGTGCTGTAATTGCAAATGAGAACTTCGTTCACCGGATGCGGAGGAGGACGATGGCGTTGTAGTCACCAAAAGATCCCGTTGATGTATACTGTATGGTGATTCATAACCTGTTACAACAACACTTTCCCCAACCCCCGTTCCGTTACCACTAGTTACGGGTTGGGAAAGACATATAACCTGCTTTTGTGAATCAGACTGGTTAATATGAAGAGATGTTCCTCCAGTACTGAGACTGGTGTTACCGCAGACACTGCTAGAGATAATACCATCGCTAGTTGTTTTACAGGTAGACGACAGCGTAGGAGAGTGCAATTCAGTAGAATGACTGTATGCAGATTGTGGAGAGAGGGCACCACATGGGCTTGGCGATGCAGTATGTAGTTCACACGCAACCACCATGCTCGATATTGTATGCGATGGTGAGGTACCATAGTGGTGTGGTGGTGACATTGACATACCTATTGATGGTAGCTTATCATAAGAAGAATATGGAGATTGTCCACTAAGGCTGCTTAAACTCAGTCCACCCAGACTACCCTGGTGCGGCATCACAGCGAATGGCCCAACGCCGCTTGATGAGGAATTGCTATTACTACCAGCACCACCTCCAACACAATTACCACCGACACTCACACCACCGCCATTTATATGACCACCGTAAGCAAACTTATCGGACATTGTTGATATAGGTGGTAATGGTTGCAGCGGTGTCAATGTCGCATATGAAGATGTTGGGCTAAAGCTAGGCGGAGAAATGCGCTCATTCACCGACGTCAAAGTTTGATAAGAAGTCGGTTGCAGCGAGTTTTCATCTACAACACCTAGCTCTGGACTAAGCATATGAGAAGCCGAGTCGCGGGAATCGTCATGTTGCTGCACAATTACTGACAAAGTTTCATGATGCGATGTCTGATGATCACTTGTCTGTGGTGCAGACTGTTGCGTATTCCTGTGGTGGTTATTCGATACGCTAATCTGATGACCATGACGTGACTGTTGATGTTCATGTAAACTGTCATGGGAATGCTGCGACATCGAATTGCTGCCATTTCTACTACCTCCACCGCTCACATAGTGATGATGCAGCAATCGCTGTTGGTGCAATTCAACATGTTGGTGGTGATGTTGATTTAATGTCACCTCCACTGCGTCCGTTGAAAGATCATTAATCCCACCCACAGCAACGTCAACATCAATATGGGATACATCTAAGGTTCTACGATCGCTACAAGGATTTTCATCTCTTCGCTTACCAATCTTCTTAGTGCCCAAGTCATGCTTCTCTATTACAACCACTTTATCCTCCTGTTTAATATCAATAATGTTTGTCACAGTGCCAGAGTTTGGCGAAGAACAAACTGACAATTCATCGAGAATAACATCGGAGCTTACAAAATCCACAGAGCTGCCATCATGTAAACGATCTTTTTGATGTTGCTGGGTGCGATGCTGACTTTGGAGATTTTGATGTCGATTTGAAATTTGTAGCAGCTGTTGATGGTGTGATGTCACAAGCTGATGATGATGTTGGTGCTGATATAACTGATGATCGTTATTGTGTAAATGCTGTCTATTCACCTGCTGCTCATGTTGACTTTGAGCAGAAACAGTGGTTGGTGTTTGAAATGTCGAATGCACCGGACTATGACTAAGGCCATCAATAATTGTGCGTACCATTACGACCGGGCCAGCACCTTCCACGTCGGTGATGGTTCCATCACTGGTTGTTACCACTGTATGTGCAACCACATTATGATCGTCTATGATGACATTGTGGGCCGAGAGAACTGGAGCCGGTGAAGATGATGGCGTACGGTGCCCATCTATTAGCGCTAAATTTTGCGACAATGAGGGGTGATCCACGCTCACGCCAACATCGGACACACGTCGAGCAGACGCTGACGATGCAGTAGTTGTTATCAAACCGCTGTCGTCGACTAGTTGACTAGTGAGTGACTGCTGATCGATAATCTCGCTTATCGATGCCATTCTCATCTTGATAATTGAATTGCGTAAGTTTTTCATTCATGAATCTCATTCGCAACGTTTCATTAACCTATTCATTGGTAGAAACACATTATGATATTAACTTCATTTAACATCCAATAACACATTGCATAGTTTTAGGCATATCTGAAAGAAAAATACAAATACACACATATCAATTGCAGAGAATGTTAATAAATAGAGAAGGCGCAAATGTTAGCTGTACTAAAATGTTAATTACGATGAGGGAACATCAAAAACGCGGAAGTTCGAAAATAAAATTGCAACATCCTATTAATTTACGCAACGAACTACACCACTCTATAAGCAAAATGTATATACATACATATGCACAGATGTTCTTTGGTATGCGCATAAACAAAAATTAAAGTAATAAAATGGAGAATAATTGACTTATGAAAAGAAAATGTAAATAATGAGGGAAATAATAATGAAATTGGAATTAAAATATTATTGAATAAAAAAGGGTTATAAAAATAAAAGAAGAGTATATAAAAATATCTGATAGGATTTGAACTTAGGCAAAATATTTCACGTTGCAATAAACAAGTGTGCTATACAAGCAGCACCACATACGATATTCGTGCAACTTTGTCTAATCTGTGAACTCAAACCTTCCTTCATTCACATGTCCAAATATATTTGCATATATGTACACATATGTACATATGTCCCTCAATATGTCTTTCGCAAAAAATCAAACATTCGCGCAAGTGACAAAAAAACGTAGACGCACCATCATCGGCCAATAACATTCAAGCGAACTCGCGGCTTATTTTCTAAGTATTTCATATTACAACGACAATAAATTCATTCTTAAGGAACATGCGTCTGCTTCAAAGTAAAGTGCGTTCGGTTATAACTCTGCGCCGCGCTATTTTTTCTGTGCGCCTGGTAAACCACATTTGGTTTTCATATAAAGTTCCTACGCAAATGCGAAATTAAGTTTTTAAAATGAATGAATGAAATTGAATTTCAGTAAAACGAGAAAAATTCAATTTAACAATTTGACAGCCACCACTGAAAATCCTACCATCCCCCTCGCATTTGTAAGCTGCCCACAAGCTGCTTCTTCACAACATTTGCTAAAAATCAAAAATTGAAGAATTTGTCTGATGGTCCCTTCAGAAAGGAGAATTGGCAACATGACCTATTAGCGAACTAAAATAATATTTTAATATATTTCACATAATTCATTACATATGACATTAAATTATAAAATTTATATAAAATTGCCATTTATATGAAATCCTTTATTAATTCTATATATTCTAATCACAGTCCATATAGTACTTCTATATGATTACTTATTATCATTATTTCATAGTTTTTCGATTTAGCCCATTTTATCGAAAGACGACGCTATGAAAATGCAGCCCAATCGGTAATCGCAATATTTCAAAAGAGCATAAGTCAACTTTCAATAGCAAACCACTGCAAAAAGGACAAACGAGACAACATAGCTGACCGATATTGTCTTAAATTGTCGAATGAAACAAATTTTGTCAACTCCGCCACGATGCGCAAAATTCGGCGTTAATATGTATGCGAGCTCAGATGTATATATGTATGTTTGTCGACAAAGTCGTGATTTGGTTTTTTCAACAACAAAATGTCCGCGCAAACTCCCCGTTATTTCGTTGGCTTGCCACCATGCACAGAGGCGTGTCAAGTGAGGATCCGTAATATATTAATATGTTGCTTAATTTGTATTGAAAAATACTGATGCATTTATGACTTATTTTCGTAATATAATAATAATATACGTAAAAATATAAATACACATAAATTCATATTTATAATCGTTTTTAAAATAAATTCGATTAATAAAAATATATCTGATATAAATATGTAGCAGTGCGCCCCTGACCCCTTCTTGCCTGCGATCGTTCAACTTGCTTCTCGCAAAAAACAAAAAGTGTAGACAAAAGTCATTGTTTGTGCAGGGCAAGCAAGCGTCAGCGTATGTGTATTTAAGAATGTATGTGTGATTATCACATTTGTGTAAATACGCATAATAAGGATATATTCAAAAAACGTAAACATATTATCCTGAAATATTTTAATTATCTCAGGAAGTAAAATATGATATTAAAGTAATTGAATCGAGATATGCTTAGATTCCAATTAATAAAATAAAAAATTATATACAATTTAAGTTTCATAAGTTTTAGAATTCGAACGTATAGGCTCGTACTCGGATTGAGCTTAACTCCTTCACGTTTACAACCTAAGCCACCACAAAAGTGGAAACGCGATCGCTTAGCCACCGTTTTATTGTTATCCTTTGATCAATAAGCAATTGCTCACGCAACGCACATAAGTACATAAGTTGGAAAACTTGCCTATTAAATGTTTTTTTTATAATGAATTCTGGGGCTTTTACCGATAATAGGTATTTAAAAGGCTTTTCAAAATTATACATTTTGTCATATCATAAAAATGGAAAACATAAATCTAAATAGGTATGCAGAACGATTTTTCATTTAGGAATATTCGTTGTGTCTATTTATGGCATTTCGCACATTGTGTGGTATATTTTTCTTTTTCGAAGTTATATTTTTCGATGTTCCCTCATCTGGAATTACAAATTAGTACTCAAAAAGATTTCATTTAACATTTGCGTCTGCTCTATTCATTAACATTCTCTGATTAAAGTGCACACCTTGAATAGCAGCCTAAAAAAGCAATTTTGGGATGTAAAACGAATATACTGTATTATTGTTAAAAAATTTTGAAGATATATTTAAACATATTTTAGGAATAGGCAGAAAATTTTTTGAAGGAAAATATTTAATATTTTTGAAGTGAAACTTTTTTGCGCTCGTTGGGTTATAATTCCAGTATCGAATGAAACGAAAAAGCGACAGAAAAAGGGAGGGGATGACGTGCGTGGTGGGTCAGTCGGACAGAAGGAGACATGGGAGAGAAACGAAAACACGACAGATTCGGAATAATGTTAATGTTAAAGTTAATGTTAAAGTTAATGTCAAAGTTAATGTTAATTCTCTCATTATTCTCTCTAAATTGAAAAAGTAGACTTGACGGGCACAGTAGCCCAACGAGCGAATATTTTATTATTGTCTGAAACATGGATAAACAATGAAGACGTTGTGGATGTGCCGAACTTCGATTGTGTCGTCCATTTCAAACGTCCCGATGTAAGAGCTGGTGGAGTAGATGTCTACCATAACTCCACTGACAGAATAAATATTGTCACTCCACATATGAATATGAATTTACAACAAATTAACTGGTTGGCTGCAGTTGACGATATTTGTGCGGCCGAATGTGTCATAAAAACGGACAGAGTGTGGCAATGATTGTTCTCTACATCACTCCGAACCAGAGAACTACGATATATTAAAATTCACACATAAAGTATTATTGACATATACTGCCTCTAGTGCAGCAGAAATAGGAGAAGATTTGCACAATATGCCAATGAGTTTAAGCGGTGATTTTAATCTCAATTTTGTCATGAAAGAAGTTCAACCACTTGTACAATTTTTATACTGTCGCAACACGTTGCTACAATTTTGTTCACCTAACGGTTGTTTGTATCACCTAAAACTAATCGAGTTTGATATAGGGTTATATATATATAAATGATCAGGATGAAGAGACGAGTTGAAATCCGGGTGACTGTCCGTCCGTCCGTCTGTGCAAGCTGTAACTTGAGTAAAAATTGAGATAATTTTATGAAACTTGGACTATTGCCACGACTACAAAACGACATTAATCAAAAACAAATAAATTGCCATAAATAAGCTCCACAATAAGATAAAAGACTTTGTATACAGGATCACATCAAAAAGGGGCATATGTCGTAAAAAAAAATTTTTTAAGTGGGCGTGGTCCCGCCCCCTAATAGGTTTAAAATGGATATCTCCTTAACTGTTAAAGCTATAATTACAAAATTCAATGAGGAAAAATTTTTTTAGCACCTCTATCGACAGTGTGAAAATAGCTGAAATCAGGTGACAACCCCTACCACTCCTCATATAACGGTACTGTTAAAAACTACTAAAAGCGCGATAAATCAAGCACTAAACAAGCCAGAGACATTAAATTGTATATCTGGTATGGTATAAGATGATTTTATAGGAACCACGTTCAAAATTAGATAGTGGGCGTGGCACCACAAACTTTTAGGTGAAAACCCATATCTTGGGATCTGCTTAACCGATTTCAACCAAATTCGATACATAACATTCCTCTCATATCTCTTTGCTATAATGAACAGATTAATGCGTTTAATGTATGCCACCTTGTGACCAAAAATTGTCTAAATCGAACCAAAACTGTTCAAGACCCTAGGTACGGAATATGTGGACCCCAGTGCCTATAGTTGACTTTTTACCGAAAATATCGGTCAATGTGTATGATATATAATTGAATTTCATATAATAAAATAAATAAATGAAAGTCTCGATAATAGTTAGTTTTTGTGTCAAAAATTTGTTAAATCGGATCAATACTTCCTTTAGTATAAAATTTTGCCAACACCTGAATTAATTTTCCGGGCTTTGATCCTTGCATTTGCGAGAGTATAAAATGTTCGATTACACCCGAACTTAGAACTTCCCTACTTGTTTTATTTGCAAATGTGGCCGTTTCTCTGCGATTTCAGCCTTTAGTCGATCCAAAATTGCACAGTAATAGTCGCTGTTGATGGTGGTTTCTTTTTGCAAAATGTCAACTAAAAATTCAGAAACCATTATATTAGGTGGGTGGGGCTCAGACCAAAGATCTAGACTAGTTTCATTCATATTCAACGTTAACACATATTTTAGAGAGTTAATGAATATTATTAATAATAAATACATATTACTTATAATAATATTATGTTCATTTCAGAAGAATATCACACATTTTGTTTTATTAATATTCTATATCACAGATTGACTGATGCAAAATATATAGCGTGAAGTGGAGAGTATAAACTCCTTATATTGGGTATATGGGGTCTATGGGAAGTATAGACCTAATTTTATCCAGTTTTGGCCCCATAGTAATAAATGAAAAAGATACCCTCTGAAAAATATTGATCTGATTCGACCCATTTTTGGCACATCATTATCAAGAACGATTGTCTCTGAATTTCAATAATATATCTCAGGGTG